ACCACAACTTCTACTTCTACTTCTACTTCTACTTCTACTTCTGCTTCTACTTCTACTTCTACTTCTACTTCTACTTCTACTTCTACTTCTACTTCTACTTCTACTTCTACTTCTACTTCTTCTTCTACTTCTTCTTCTACTTCTACTTCTACTTCTACGGTGCGGCTGCTGCTGCTACTACTGATACTGCTGCTCCTGCTACTGCTATTCCTACTCCTAGCCCTACTCCTACCTACTGTTACACCTACTCCTACTTCTCCTCCTACTTCTTTTGTTACTACGACGACGACGACTGCTACTGCTACTGCTGTGACTACCACGACTACGACGATGCCACGATTACCACGACCACCGCGACCACCACGACTACCACGACTACCGCGACCACCATGACTACCACGGCCGACGACGACGATGACCACGACTACCACGACTACGACGACTGCGACGGCTACCACTATACCACTACTACTACCTCTACGACTATTGCTACCGCTACCACCACAACGAATGCTAATGCTCAGGGTGGTCACCAGTACGTGCTACCCACATGCAGAAGCCACAAGAGTGCTTCGAGTTCGCACATGTTCTCCGCGAGCATGCAAGACTTCCGGAAATAAGCGAAAATGTGGAAAGTTATGGAACGTACATGATCCAACAGGTCAGAGGTTGTCTTAGATTCTCCATTGAAGAGGGACGGAGGGCGCTCTGCTACGGAATTGTTTGAGAACCCTCGAGGCATTGGTCTGGCAGGGCCCTGGTGTGCTTGTGAAGCTTCCCGCTGTTTTGGAGTATGTTATAGGGATCTTCGACAATGGAATTTGTGGCTTACCTTCTTTGAGAACTTCCAGAACTCGTGAGCACCAAAGCCGCCCTGAGCCTGGCATGAGGAGAATCTTGTGGAAGGCAGCCTCGGTCTAGCTGAGATGTTCTGGGTGGTGCGCTTGCCGGAGCCTCGCGAGGTTTGGGGCTTGAGGCATGAGGCCTTAGGGTTACGGTTTGTGGCCAACAAGCAGAAGGCTGAAAGGTTTGTAGTACTGCCAGGATCTGGATCCAGCAGGCGCTTCAACGAGTAGCTCTGTACTAAATGTCTGTTTGTCTGATGATGTTGCCCCACGACACCGTTGCACACTTAGAGCGAATACTTAATTGATACTGTTGCAGCATACTTCTTCAGTGCAGCGTTTGCATTCCTTAATGATTCCTGTGGCATGCCCAAGGTACGATGATGCGCGATCCGAGGACCCACAGCTCACGTTCTCCAGTGCTTGCAGTCTTGGCGAAGCCTACATGTTGTCGATGGTGGTTGTATCCGAGTGCGTGTACATACGTATCTACATGCTTTCATTTGCGCAAAAGAAGTCCACCGCGAAAGGAGGGGCTCGAGGCCACAGACGTTTTGTCTTCTTTGAGTCAAGGAAGCAGATTCTGACATAGCTCACTAGTTGCATTTGCAGTAGTATGCCTTGTTTGTGTTAAAGATTGAGATCCCTACTGCAATTCATCAATCTCCGAAATTCGGACATCGTCATGTTCCGTGGAGCTCCCTGACTTCACACCGGGGTTTGGTCAAACATTCAAAACGAATATCTAGCACATTGGTGTCCAGGATCGATGTTGTTTGCCCGCAGCCATATTAATTCATCATGTGCACCACATTCCTAAGTAGAAACCAGAACCGCTTCGAGGCCTTTTGGAGTCGTCCAGCACGGCGTACACCGCAGCTCGAGAGAAGAAGTTGCAGTGAAACGGATTCTGAAGAGTGGCAACCGAGACATCCAGCAGATTGCGAACGAGCTGGATGTTGTGAAAAGCACCAAGCACAAGAACCTTTGCCTGATGCTGGAATTGCTCGACACTCCCGACTTCCTTTACATTGTGCCAACCGCTGACAGCTCTTGGGATTAGTCGTTCTCCGAAGTACTTCCCGTACTTCCCCACAGGCATGGGTCAAGTGTTTGTGACCCGAGGTGTTGCCGTATGCCAGCCAAGGCGACATGGCAAAGTGCCTTTCCCGGGAAGAGGAACAAAGATTTCCCCTCGGACTGGCCTTCCGATACTTCGAAGACATTGTAGCCGGCGTGGCGCATCTTCATGAGCACAACATCGCGCACAGAGACCTGAAGCCGGAAAACGTGTTGATTCACCACCAGACTGCGTTGGTGCCCGACTTCGGCTGTGCTTGCTGGTTCACACCCAAAAGGGTGCTGACCGGTTCCCCTGGAACCGTGGTGTATGCAGCTTAAGCCACGACATGGAGGGCAGCGAGGGTATGTGCTGCCGTTTGCGGACTTGTGGTCGCTGGGAGTCACTTTGTTTGAGATGCTTTCTGGCGCGCGACCTTTCCGGATATTCCAGCAGCTAGTTCATCTACTTAGTTCGCACGTTGCTGGTTACCGCGAGTGTTAAGGCAGTTGCAACCGGCAAGATGCACTGTCCCAGTGCCGCGCATCTCATTGCAAGTGTGATCCGGCTAAAGCCACAGGAGCGGATGTCTGCAGCGGCATGTGCTGATGCGTTGAAGCTCTGGAATCATGGCCTGTGCACTTTGTGCTCCTTGCACTTGCCTTCGCGAGCGAGGAAACTTGAAGCTAGCGTGGATGCGGATCGCACCATGAGCCTGCGGGCGCACCAGAGGATAGCCAATGTCACAAACTGTGGCGGTGATTAGTCGCGTCGAGATCTGTATACTGTAGACGACTCTTCAAAGTAGTCAAGCCTTCTAAAGCATAGTCAGGTATACTCCAACATGCGCGGCCCAAAGCCACAGCAGCCACATGCAGATTCCAGCTTACAAAGGTCTGAGTAGCTAGTATAGTGTATGGTTCCCGTATGGTCCCCATTACTGGGCCCAGTACTGTAAATATGAAATGATTGATTCCCTTGTAGTCACTATGACTTACAGCTCAGGGAACCTGCAAGTCGCACAGCAAGGGAGCTTCATGAGTCGCAGAGCAGAAGGGTACTTCACGGCACTATACGGGTGTTATCAGAGTATTCTAAGGCTACTGGACGGGCACTATAAGAGGGAGCAGCCGCAAGTCCAAACCTCTGCGAGAAATGCGCAGGAAGCATGGGCCAAAGAGGGTCACATCATCAAGGAGGCCGGTGGGTTTTGGGGCTTGGTGCCTTTGTCAGGTGGGAGCTGAGACTTCTGTGGGATCAGAGTTCAACCGTGCGTACCTTGTTTGATCTGGGGGTGGGTGTGGTGGCATTGCGCACGGTGTTACAGTCAAGAACGGTCGAATGAGTCGATGCGAAGTTCTTATTCCGGATCCTACTACATAGGCACTTAAACCCAAATCGCTTAAACCCTAAACCTCAGGGCTCATGGAGGGCCTTTGCAGCCCTTAAGCCTAAAGCCGAAACCCGTGGAACCTCGTTGCACATCGAGCCCTCTGGACCCTGTGCAGCCCTATGGTTAAGTCTCTGTCCCCCAGCTGAAACCTCCGAAGCTCTCAACATCTCTGATTTTTACCGCCCGAACATGAAACTCGAGTTTTCTAAACCTCGGCCCTGAACACCAAAATAAAAGCCATCCGCTGGCGTAGGCGGGTTTCACCTCCGCGCAGGCCAGGTCGGGAGGTTCAGACAGCGGGACCTTTGGTGTATGGTATTGCACTAGGGTTTTGTAAGCCAGCTTTGAATGCACAATACAAACCGAGTAGTAAAAGGCAAATGGTTAGTTTAAAGCTAACTAGAAGTGTGCAGCTTGGCTAGGTACACAGATAAGTACATCAAAAATTTCATGCATATGTAAGAGTGTATGTATGTACGCCTGTACGTAGGCATGTATGTATGCATGCACGCATGCATTGTATTGCATTGCATTGCATTGCATTGCATTGCATTGCATTGTATTGTATTGTATTGCATTGTATTGTATTGTATTGTATTGTTTGGTATTGTATTGCATTGTATTGCATCGCATTGCATTGTATAGCATTGTATTGTCTAGCATTGCATTGTATTGCATTGTATGCATTGTGTTGTATCGTATTGTCTGGTCTTGTATCGTATTGTATTGTGTGACGGCAGAAGTCTGTATGCATGTCTGTCCGCAGAAGAGGTGTTAAGGAAGGAGACTCTTATATTGATCTGGGTCGGGTGGCTTGGCAAATTGTCAAAGACACCCAAGCCAAACGCCTTCAAGCATTCAGTCTGAGTCTTCGAGGCATTGCAGGGTGAGCCCGCAAAGCCTCGCCCCAGTCCACACGACAGCTGCTGTCTTGAAGTTGGTGCTTTCAAGTTGCAGTGACTACATAATTGACCGCTGCCGTCAACATGGCGTGGTACCCTGTGCTGCTCTTGGGTTGCGCAGTCTTGTCTTCCGCTGCCCCAAGCTTCACCGTGAAGGGAAGTCGACCCACAATCCTTGAGGGGGTGGGTTTTCAGCTGGACCTTTCCTTGAGCTACCCTTCCGGTGACAACTTGGCCGCTGGGAGCAACATCTACGTGCGCGTTCAGAAGGGTGCTCAGTCCGTCTCTGATGTAAAGACCTACCCCCTCTATTCGGGCGACGAGCTCAGGACGTCACTCACCCTCAGCGACCTGGTGCTGAACGAAGTAGGCACTCATGAGCTGACGGTGGATGTTGCGTACTCCGCAGACTTCCTTGGAGCTTCCTCGGGGACATATGAAGCGTGGGTGATCTCCGGCTTCGTATCCCTGCTGCCGCCCCTCTTCGTCGTTCTCGTGGCTGGATTGACTCAGGAAGTTCTGTGGGCACTGTGGGTCGGCTTGTTCGTGGCCGGGGCCATCGTCCATCAGGGGAACATCTTCGATGCATTCTTGAGGACGCTGGACACATACTTGGTGAACTCCCTGGCAGATTCGGGTCACGCCTTCGTCATTCTTTTCTCCTGGTTCCTCGCTGGACTCGTGGCAGTTGTGCAGAAGTCGGGCGGGGGCCATGGCATTGCCAACATCATGCTGAAGCGGATCTCGACGCGACGTGGTGTCCAGCTGGCAGTGTACCTTCTGGGCTTCGTGATCTTCTTCGATGACTATGCGAATACGCTGATTCTCGGCAACACCATGCGAGGCAGAAGGGGAGGGGTGCCTGCATCTGTGTGACCAGTGAGATCCAGTGATGTTCTCTTTTGCAGGCATCTCTGATGCTTTTTTCGTCAGCCGAGAGAAGCTCGCCTTCCTCGTGGATGCGACCACTGCGCCGATTGCTTCCTTGGCTCCAATCTCCTCCTGGATTGGCTTTGAGGCTCGGGGCTTACAAGAGGCAGACGGAAGCTTTCTGTGAATTTTACGAGGGTGCAAGTGCTGTCGCTAACTTTGGTAAGGTCGGCCTCATCAATGATCAGCTGGAGACCTTGAAGGGGCTAGGGTACACAGATGCCCTGGCGGAAGCCGGTCTCACAAGCGGCTATGGCATCTTCCTTTCCTCTCTGGCAAGCCGGTACTACCCAATCTTCATGCTCGTCTTCCAGCTGAGCCTCATTGTCTTCCAGCGCGATGCTGGCCCAATGCTTCAGGCAGAGCGCCGTGCCTTTGACAACAAGCTTGTCATTTCGCCCACGGCCAAGGAGAGTGAGGTGACACTCGATGCTTCCATGGAGCCATCGGAGAGCACGCCCAAGTTGTGGTGGAACAGCGTGGTACCGATTCTTTCGACTCTGATTGCTGTTTTCGCTGCCTTGCTGGTCACCGGCTACAACACCACTGTGGATGGTGGCCAGGAGATGACTGCAGAGAACTTGTTCGGCAACGGGGACTCTTACTCTGCCCTTCTATGGGGAGGATTCATCGGGAGCGTGGTCACCTGGGTCTTCATCCGTTTGCAATACCAGTACAAGGGTGAGATCTACAATCAGTGGAAGCACTGGGTGGCGTGTGATTTCCGCATGCAGATCGATGGAGATGAAGCTGAGGCGCCACGGCCCATTCTCAACTTCAAGGAATCCCTGGATGTGTGGATTGAGGGTGTGAAGGGCCTCACGGCTCCGGTCTTGGTGTTGCTCATGGCCTGGGGCATTGGCGCTGCGGTGAAGGACGTCTCCTGCGACCTCTTCTTCGCCAGCGTCTTCTCATCAGATTCCTTGGATTATCGCTCCTTGCCGACACTCACGTTCCTGATCTCCTCGCTGATGTCCTTCTGCACAGGCACTTCTTGGGGAACCATGTCCATCATGTTCCCGCTTGTCTTGCCAGCGGCGTGGATCAGCTCGAACGGAGACCAAGAAATCTTCGTGCTGGTGGTCTCTGCCATTTTGGCGGGATCTGTTTTCGGAGATCATGCCACTGCCATCTCGGACACCACGATCCTCTCTTCCATGGCTACCAAGTGCGACCTCCGCCACCACGTTGTGACCCAGCTTCCCTACGCTCTCTTCGTTGCCGCTGTGGCGATTATCATCGGATACCTTCCGGCCTCCTTCCTCTTTCCAGCTTGGCTAGGCCTTCTCCTGGGCATCGTCGTGATGTTCTTGGTGCCTTTGGTCTTCGCGGAGAAGGTGGACCATCCCCAGCGGCGTCTGGATCCAACGATGCGGGTCGTGGAGTGGGCTCGAGTGACGCTGCTGAAGGGGAAGCCTACTGAGACGGCTCCAATCAAGTCCGAGAAGGATCTCGGAGATCAGGCATTCTGAATTGCCATTCAGGCTTGGAGAGCCGAATGGCGCGCATGAAGGCGAACCGCACAGAGCGGCAGCGCCTGTTTACTAGTTTTCTCTTTCTTTGAAAGACCATCCGTCGCAGTGAAGTCTCGCACCTTCCTTCCTTTCAGGCTCTCTGTGCCCTGCAGCTTGGCAGCTCGCAGGGAGCCGGGTGCGTGATGCGGCGCATTGCACTTTGGCACTGCGCGCGGCTGTCATGGCAAAAGCCCAGACGGCTCGACGGCTAGACAACGTTCTCTTCAGGCAATCAAGAGGCCGGGGGCAACAGCCCCGCCTACAGCTGTGTTGGAGTTGCATCGCAGCTTCCCAAGAGTCTGGAAAGTAAAGTGCGTTGCAGGGCCTAGACTGACCTGGAGTATCTCGGTCCACAGATGTCAGTCTACCCGAGCATGTTGTCTTCACGAAACCTACCAAACTAAGACTCCTTGTCTTGGCCCCTCGAAATGCGAACTTCTCCAAAGACTAAGATACCGTACAGTTCCCCCAAAACCCAAGACGCTGAACCTTTCTTTCGTATATATGTCACGGTAGCAAGCTGAGTACCATAAGACCGGCGCCTGAATCCGTGCCTGCTTTGAGCCAGTATGCGAGTCGAAACCCTGCGGACCGTGCCTGGA